GTCACCGGCAATGCCGGCCAGGCCAACTACGCGGCCGCCAAGGCCGGCATCATCGGCTTCAGCAAGTCGCTGGCCAAGGAAATCGGTTCGCGCGGTGTCACCGTCAATGTGGTCGCTCCCGGCTTCATCGACACCGACATGACCAAGGCGTTGCCGGAAGAAGCGCGTACCGCGCTGATCAAAGACATCGCCCTCGAACGCCTGGGTTCGCCGGAAGACATCGCCCATGCGGTGGCCTTCCTGGCCGGCCCGGCTGCCGGTTACATCACCGGCGAAACCCTCCATGTGAACGGTGGCATGTACATGCCGTAAGCAAGGGGCGCAGGGATTGCGCCGCAAGTGGTTGATCTGCCGGGTTTTTTGCTGCGATGCAAGGCCGCGCCGGTTTCCACTACACTATCCCACGGCCATCGCCTTTGATGGCGACCACTTTTGAACCACAACTCCATCTGGAGCGAGATCCCATGAGCACCATCGAAGAACGCGTCAAGAAAATCGTCGTCGAACAGCTTGGCGTCAAGGAAGAAGAAGTCACCAACAGCGCATCGTTCGTCGATGACCTGGGCGCTGACTCGCTGGACACCGTCGAGCTGGTGATGGCCCTGGAAGAAGAATTCGAGTGCGAGATCCCGGACGAAGAAGCCGAGAAGATCAGCACCGTGCAGGCCGCCATCGACTACGTCAAGGCCCACGTCAAGGCCTGATGTCAGACGGCAGTGCGCGCGCGGGTTGATCCTCGCCGCGCACCGCACCCCATGGGGCCGCTGTTGCGGCCCCGTGTGTTTGGGCATCACATCGAAGCAAACCGAGTTACCCGTAGAAACCATCCGGGTCAGGAGAAACAGCAATGAAGCGTCGCGTCGTCGTAACCGGCCTGGGTATCGTCTCGCCGTTGGGCAATGATCTGGCCAGCAGCTGGGAAGGCATCACCCACGGTCGTTCGGGCATCGGTCCGCTGACCAACGTTGCTGATGCCTATCTGGACCGGTTCACCACCAAGATTGCAGGTGAGGTCAAGGGATTTGACATCACCGCCGACAACGAGCTGTTCGGCAAGTTCCGGGTCAGTGGCAAGGATGCCAAGAAGATGGACCCGTTCATCCATTACGGCCTCGGCGCCTCGTTCATGGCCCTGCATGACTCGGGCCTGGAGATCACCGAGGCCAATGCCGATCGCATGGGCGCCATCGTCGGCGCCGGCATCGGCGGCCTGCTCGGCATCGAAGAGCAGACCATCGAGTTCCACGAGGGCAAGAAGATCTCGCCCTTCTACGTGCCCAAGACCATCATCAACATGCTGCCGGGCCAGCTGAGCATCATCACCGGCCTGAAGGGCCCGTCGTTCTCGGCGGTGTCGGCGTGCGCGACCTCGAACCATTCGATCGGTACCGCGATGCGCATGATCCAGTACGGCGATGCCGACGTGATGGTGGTGGGTGGTGCCGAGCGTGGCTCGTCGCCGACCGCCGTGGGCGGCTTCTGTGCGATGAAGGCCATGAGCACCCGCAACGACGCCCCGGAACAGGCCTCGCGCCCGTGGGACAAGGACCGTGACGGCTTCGTGCTGGGCGACGGTGCCGGCATCCTGATCCTGGAAGAGTACGAGCACGCCAAGGCACGTGGCGCGAAGATCTACTGCGAACTGGCCGGTTTCGGTGCCAGCTCCGACGCGTACCACATGACCGCGCCGAGCGAGAACGGTGAAGGCGCCGCGCGTTGCATGGTGATGGCGATGAAGGACGCCGGCGTGACCCCGGAACAGGTGGGCTACCTCAACGCACACGGCACCTCCACGCCGCTGGGCGACCTGGGCGAGACCATGGCGATGAAGACCGCCTTCGGCGACCACGCCTACAAGATGATGGTCAGCTCCACCAAGTCGATGACCGGCCACCTGCTCGGCGCCGCCGGCGGCGTGGAAGCGATCTTCTCGGTGATGGCGCTGCAGGACAATGTCATTCCGCCGACCATCAACCTGCAGCAGCCGGGCGAAGGCTGCGACCTGGACTATGTGCCCAACGAAGCACGCCAGGCCAAGGTCGACGTGGTGATGTCCAATGGCTTCGGCTTCGGCGGCACCAACGGCACGCTGATCTTCAAGCGCATCTGACCGGTGCGTGGCGGCGGGCAATTGCCCGGCACCGCCTTGGTAGAGTCGAGCTTGCTCGACTCCGCCGTCATGTAGAGTCGAGCTTGCTCGACTGGACCTGCAACCCAGTCGAGCAAGCTCGACTCTACGCAGCAGGAGGCCGCCGCAAGGCGGCTTCCGTGCATCTGATTCCCTGAACTGGCCGCCATGACCCACGCACCGCTGATCCACCCGCTGCCGCACCCGATCGACCTGCTGGCCCTGCAGCAGCACGATCCGGCGCGCTTCCCGCTGTTGATGGAGTCCACCGCCTCAGGTACCGCCCAGGGCCGCTGGAGCCTGCTGCTGGCCGCACAGGGCGATGTCCTGCGCTTGGATGCCGATGGCCAGGTGCGTGACCAGCACGACGCCGTACGCGCGGGCAGCTTCCTGCAGGCACTGGACCGCGCCTGGCAGGCCGAACGCCTGCCGCATGACGGCAGCCACAGCCTGCCGTTCCGTGGCGGCTGGGCGCTGATGCTGGACTACGAAGTGGCCAGCCAGATCGAACCGGTGCTGCCGGCGCGCGCGCGCGACGACGGCCGCCCGACCGCGCTGGCGCTGCGCTGCCCGGCGGCGGTGCTGCACGACCACCACAACGATGCCAGCTTCGTGATCGCCGAAGCGGGCCAGCAGGCGCTGCTGGATGCACTGGTGGCACAGGCCTCGGCCGCGCTGCCCGAGGCCGGGCAGGGCTGGCAGCCGCCGCAGTCGGTGGGCGAGGATGCACCGCAGCGCTTCACCGACGGCGTGCGCCGGGTGATCGAGTACCTGCGTGCCGGCGACGTGTTCCAGGTGAACCTGTCGCGGCGCTGGAGCGCCCGGTTCGCCGCGCCGGTCAGCCCGCAGGCGCTGTATGCACAGCTGCGCCGCGCCAACCCGGCACCGTTCGCCGGCCTGTTCAGCGCGCACGGCCGCCACGTGGTCAGTTCCTCTCCGGAGCGGCTGGTGTCGGTGCACGCCGGCCACGCGCAGACCCGGCCGATTGCCGGTACCCGTCCGCGGTTTGAAGGCGATGACGATGCCGCGCGCATCCAGGAGCTGGTCGGCCACCCGAAGGAGCGTGCCGAGCACGTGATGCTGATCGACCTGGAGCGCAACGACCTGGGCCGCATCTGCCTGCCCGGCACCGTGGTGGTCGATGAGCTGATGACCGTGGAGAGTTACGCCCACGTGCACCACATCGTCAGCAACGTCAGTGGCCATCTGCGCCCGGAGGTCACCCCCGGCGAGGTGATTGCCGCGACCTTCCCGGGCGGCACCATCACCGGCTGCCCGAAGGTGCGCTGCATGCAGATCATCAGCGAGCTGGAGCAGGTGCCGCGCGGCGCCTACACCGGGGCGTTCGGTTGGCTGAACCGCGATGGCGACCTGGACCTGAACATCCTGATCCGCACCGCCGAAGTGGAGGGCGATGAGGTCAGCTTCCGCACCGGCGCCGGCATCGTGGTCGATTCGGACCCGGACAAGGAGCTGGACGAGACCCGGGCCAAGGCGCGCGGCCTGCTGCGTGCGCTGGGCCAGCAGGGCTAGGCGCACTCCGGTAGTGCCGGCCGCTGGCCGGCAATCGCGCGGATCATGGGTGCATGAGGTTGCCGGCCAGCGGCCGGCACTACCGGGATGTCTGCCACCCCCGGTCATGACCCCAATCCACCGGCACGGTATCCTGCACGACGGAATCGAGTTCAGAGGTAGTCCATGGCGGGAGCCAAGCGCGGGTGTCTGTTCGTGGTAACGCTGGTGGTGGTGCTGGCCGCCGTCGTGGCCGGTGCGGGCGCGTGGTTCTTCTACCAGCAGACCCAGTTCGCCGACGCGCGGATCACCCCGACCGCCGAGAGCGTGGTCATCGCCAGCGGCGATGGCATGAACAGCGTGCTGCGCAAACTGCGCGAGGCCGGCGTGGATGAAGGCCAGGATGCGCAGTGGCAGCTGCTGGCGCGCCAGCTCGATGCCGCCGGCAAACTGAAGGTGGGCGAATACGCGCTCAGCGCCGACCTGACCCCACGCGAACTGCTGCTGCGCATGCGCGCCGGCAAGGTGCTGCAGCACCGCGTCACGATCGTCGAGGGCTGGAACATCCGCCAGCTGCGTGCCGCGCTGAAGCGCGCCGAGCCGCTGCTGCACACCACCGACACGCTTGATGACGCGGCCCTGATGCAGCGTCTCGGTTTCGGTGGCCAGCATCCGGAAGGCCGCTTCCTGCCGGAGACCTACGTCTACCAGCGTGGCGACAGCGATCTGGACGTACTCAAGCGTGCCCACGCGGCGATGGAGAAGGCGCTGGACGAGGCGTGGGAAAGCCGCGCACCGGACCTGCCGATCAACACGCCGTATGAATTGCTGACGATGGCCTCGATCATCGAGAAGGAAACCGCGCTGGCCAGCGAGCGCCCGCAGATTGCCGGTGTGTTCATGCGCCGCCTGAAGATCGGCATGCGCCTGCAGACCGACCCGACCGTGATCTATGGCATCGGTGCCGCGTATGACGGCAACATCCGCCGCCGCGACCTGACCACCGATACGCCCTACAACACCTATACCCGTGCCGGCCTGACCCCGACCCCGATCGCCATGCCCAGCCGCGATGCGCTGATGGCGGCCGCGCAGCCACTGTCGGGCGACGCGCTGTACTTCGTCGCCGTCGGCGACGGCAGTGGCGCGCACGTGTTCTCGTCCAGCCTGGACCAGCACAACGCCGCAGTAGCCCGCTACCTGCAGCAGCTGCGCCGGCAACGTACCCAGGAGACCCCGGCGCAATGAGTCCCGCGCTGCTTCGCCACCCGCGTTTCGTCAGCTTGGACCAGCACAACGCCGCAGTAGCACGCTACCTGCAGCAGCTGCGCCGGCAACGTACCCAGGAGACCCCGGCGCAATGAGTCCCGCGCTGCTTCGCCACCCGCGTTTCGTCAGCCTGGAAGGCGGCGAGGGTGCGGGCAAGACCACCGCCATCAATGCCATCCGTGACTGCCTGCGCAGCCATGGCCACGAAGTGGTGCTGACCCGCGAGCCGGGCGGTACACCGCTGGCCGAGCGCATCCGCGGCCTGGTGCTGAAGCCCGATGCCGAGATTGCCGCCGAGCCGCTCAGCGCCGAAGCCGAGCTGCTGCTGGTGTTCGCCGCCCGCGCCCAGCATGTACGCCAGGTGATCCAGCCGGCATTGCAGCGCGGCGCCTATGTGCTGAGTGATCGCTTCACCGATTCCAGCTATGCCTACCAGGGCGGTGGCCGTGGCCTGGATCCGCAGTGGATTGCCGACCTGGAACGCCGCGCGGTCGGCCTGTTGCCCGGCCTGACCCTGCTGCTGGACGTGGATGTGGCGGTAGGCCGCGCGCGCGCCAACGGCCGCGACCTGTGGCCGGACCGCATCGAGAGCGAGCAGGACGATTTCTTCCAGCGTGTGCGCGCCGTGTTCCGCAGCCGCGCGCAGCAGGACCCGCAGCGTTTCGCGCTGATCGATGCCGGCCAGGTGCAGGAACGCGTCGCCGCTGATGTGGTTGCGCGTGTCGAGCGCTGGCTGCAGGACGGGGAGGGCGCATGAGCACGTTCTCGCCATGGCAGCAGCGCGCGTTCGAGCAGACCGTGGCTGCGCTCGATGCCGATCGCCTCGGCCACGGCCTGCTGATCTGCGGCCCGGCCGGTCTGGGCAAGCATGAGGTGGCGCTGGCGCTGGCCGACCATGTGCTGGCACGTGGCGACGCTGCACATGCCACGCGCACGCGCCAGCTGATCGCCGCCGGCACGCATCCGGACCTGCAGCTGGTCGGCTTCATTCCGAACAAGAGCGGCGACAAGCTGCGTACCGAGATCGTCATCGAGCAGGTACGCGAGATCACCAACAAGCTGGCGCTGACCCCGCAGTACGGCGTGGCCCAGGTGGTGATCGTCGACCCGGCCGATGCGATCAACCGCTCGGCGGCCAATGCGCTGCTGAAGACGCTGGAAGAGCCGCAGCCCGGGCGCTACCTGTGGCTGATCAGCAGCGACCCGGCACGCCTGCCACAGACCGTGCGCAGCCGCTGCCAGCGCCTGGAGTTCAAGCTGCCGCCCCGCGACGAAGCACTGGCCTGGCTGCAGCAGCAGGGCCACAGCGAAGCCTCGGCGCGCGAAGCGCTGGATGCCGCGCGCGGCCATCCCGGCCAGGCCGACAACTGGCTGCGCGAAGATGGCCTGAGCCTGCGCCGCGAAGTGGGCCGCGAGCTGGAGCAGCTGGCCGCCGGCAAGACCGGCGCGGTGGAGCTGGCGCAGAAGTGGTGCGGTGATGACAACGCGGCGCTGCGCCTGCGCTTCGCTGCCGACCTGGCACTGGCCCAGGCCAGCACCGATGCCTTGACCACGCCGGAGCGATTGCACAAGCTTGCGGCCTGGTTCGATGCGGCCAACCGCACCCGCGACCTGCTGCGCACCACGGTGCGTGCAGACCTTGCGGTGGTCGAGTTGCTGCTGGCCTGGAACAAGGTGAACGAGCGGCCTGCCGCAAGGGGAAATCGATGAGTGCCAGCAACGCCCGCCAGGGCATCCTGTCCCTGGCCGTGAAGGACAAAGCCGCGCTGTACAGCGCGTACATGCCGTTCGTGAAGAACGGCGGCATCTTCGTGCCCACGCCCAAGCGCTACTTCCTGGGCGACGAGGTGTTCCTGCTGCTGACCCTGCCCGATTCCAGCGAGCGCCTGCCGGTGGCCGGCAAGGTGATCTGGGTGACCCCGGCCGGCGCGCAGGGCAACCGCACCGCCGGCATCGGCGTGCAGCTGGCCGATGGCGCTGAAGGCGAGGGCGTGCGCCACAAGATCGAGACGATGCTGGCCGGCCTGACCAGCTCGGACAAGCCGACCCATACGATGTGAGGCGCCGCTGGGCGGTTCTGTAGAGTCGAGCCATGCTCGACTGCGGCCCCGGAAAACGCCCGTGAACACGAATGTGAAAAATGGTTGACGGCCTCTGAAAAGCCCCTATAATGAGCGGCTCAGCAACACACCGGGCGGTTAGCTCAGCGGTAGAGCATTGCCTTCACACGGCAAGGGTCACAGGTTCGATCCCTGTACCGCCCACCATGTTGCAGAACGAAAAAGGCCTCCAGCAATGGGGGCTTTTTTGTTGCCTGGGGTTCCGTGGCGCCCGCCGAAGCGGGCTCCGTCTCAGCCCGGATCCTCCAGCCGTTCGCGGGCCATCATCGCCACGCCATCCAACAGGTCGTAGCCGCTGCCGGCCTGCACCACCACGGCCAGCAGGCTGCGGCCCACTACGGCATTGCCGCCGCTCAGCTCCATCTCGCCTTCGAAGCACACATCGCTCAACCATTCATGCGCCTGCTGCAGCCCGCGCTTGCGCGCGCGGCTGAACTCCGCAAGCAGCTTTGCCCGGCCCGCTTCGTGTTCGCCATCGGCAAGCAGGCCGATGGCACCGCCGTGCGCTGCACGCCACACCGCAGGCAACGGACGACCGTTCTCGTCCACCACGTCTGCTGACAACTGCGCGCAGTACACCTCATAGCGCTTGCCCGCCGTGCTGGCCGGAACGACGCCGGCTTCGGCCAGCAGGCGCTCGGCTTCATGCAGGTGATTGAACTTCAACCGCAGCAGGGCAGGGCGGCTCACCTGCTGGGCGAGCGCCTGCTGGTTGGCGGCAAACCAGACATTCCAGCCGACCGTTGCGCGGCCTTCCAGGGCGGCCTTGAAGTACTCCAGGTGTTCGGCGTCCATTGCGGTCTCCTGCGATTCCCTGCGCGATTGTAGCCACGTCGCGCCCAGGCGCTCAGGCGGTTCCACCTTCCAGGCAATGGTTGGCTTCGCGCACCAGTTGCCGTGCCGCCACGATCAGCCCATCGGTATGGAAGGCGCCCAGCTGTTCATCCGGACCGGCCTCGCTGCGCGCGCGGTCGGCGGCCTGCAGCAGATCGAGCACTGCGGTGAGTCCTGCCATCGAGCGGCGCAGCGACGCGTGATTGCCCGCGGCAAGGGTAAGACTGCTGCACGGTTGCCCATCCTCGCCCTCGGCGTTGTTGATGGCATTGAGGCACGCGAAAAACGCGGGTGACTGCATGGGCAGGTTCTGTTCGTCCAATGCGTATTCGATCTCGCGTGCGATGTCGTCGGGAACCTGGTTGGCGATGTCGGCAATCAATGCGTACAGGCGTGGAAGCGATGCGGCTCGTTTGGTCATGGCAAAACCCTCACTGGCGTAGGGCCACCTTCGGAATGAAGGTGGCGGACGGTGCGGGTTGGCGTACCAAGGCAGAAAGGCTCACACGGAGAAAAGGCCTGGCGGATCTTGCGATCCCCACGCACCGCCCGCCATAGAAGGCAGTCGGTGCATTCTCTTCGCTGCGATCGAAATCGCAACATCGTGTGAGCCTGTTCGTTTATTCGAGACGCCAATCCCGACCAAGGTGTGCTGCCTTGGCGGGGCGATCATCGAATCGCTCGAACCCGAAAGTCAGTGAGGAAAGTTGCAACAAGGCCTTCCATGAGCCAGCGTCTCCGGATCTGAGCAGCAAAGCACTCGCACCGTGTGCGTCCCATCACCGATGGCGCAATTCGCCGCCCTCACCTGAACGGGGCAGCAGCACTCCTCAGATGCTCCAAGCGGCAATCACGTCATCCGGCGCCGGGGCGCCGGGCCCACGTGCCATCCATGAAAGCAGACGTTCCATCCATGCGCTGTGCCGCCGCTCACGACGGGCGTAGTCTCGTCTCACTACCGTCCTACCTGGCCCTGGAGCCCCGCCATGCCGCTCGCCCGCATCGATCTTCGCAAAGGTAAATCCGCCGACTACCTGCAACGCGTGGGTGAAGCCATCTACCAGGCCATGCGCGCGGTGGGCGTGCCGGAAAACGATCGCTTCCAGATCTTCCAGCAGCACGACGCCGGGACGCTGATCTACGACCCGGGCTACCTGGGCGTGGACCGCACCGACGACTTCATCTGCATCCAGATCACCTGGAACGAAGGGCGCACGCTGGAGCAGAAGAAGGCGCTGTATGCGGGCATCGCCGAGGGCCTGCACGCGGCGGTGGGTATCCGCCGCGAGGATGTGTTCATCAACCTGGTGGAAGTGAAGAAGGAGAACTGGTCGTTTGGCAATGGGGTGGCGCAGTACGTGAGTTGATGTGCAAAAAGCATCCACGCATGGCGTGGATCTACACTTCGCTGGCTACCTGCTCGCCTTCGGTGGCCGCGGCACTGCTGGCCGCCTTCACCGCGTCGGCACTGTTGGGTTGTTCGCATTCGATGCGGGTGACGTAGCCTTCGCTGCCGATGCTGTGCTCGGCGCGCTTGACCAGCCACTGGCCATCCACGCCCTCGCGGAACCCCTGCATCACCACGGTGGCTTCGGCCATCAGTGTCTCGCGGCCGGGCAGGGTGTAGCTGAGCGTCCGCGTCTGCCGTGCCTGCTCGCGATGCTTGGCGCGTGCGGCCGCCTCTGCGCTCTCCCGGTCGGCATAGGCCATGCGCAGGCGCATGATCGGTTCACCGCTGCCCACTTTCACTTCCTGGCGCTTGGCACCGCGCACATCGCGGTAGTAGGCAATGGTGGTGCCGGCATCTTCGCGTGCGGCAAGGGTTACCCGATAGTCGCTGCCGTCGGCCGGGGTAAGGGTGACATCGGGAATGCGCTCGCCGCTGGCGCTGGTGGATTCGCCCCGCTTCACGAACACCAGGCGCCCGCCTCCGGGCTTGGCGATGGCATCGTGCTGTTTGGCCAGGCGCAGCAGCAGGTTCATGTCCGACTCCTGCGACTGCACCGTCAGCGGCAGCACGATGGACGCCAGCGATGCGCTCACCGCTGCGTTCAGCCCATGTTCGCCGGCCATGCGCCGCACCATGTCGCCGATCGTGGTGCCCTTCTTCCAGGTGCGTGTCTTCTGCGTCTGCAGGTCGCTCTTGCCCCCCTTGCTGGTCTCGAACGGTGCCGCCCGGGCGCGCAGCGTCATGCTGCCGGGAAAGCCGGAGATCTCCACCTCGTCGCAGATGTACAGGCCCACGCGCCGCACTTGGCCGTCATAGCCGATGAAGGCCTCCAGTTCCGCGCCCACCGGTGGCAGCTGGATTGGGTCGGACGGATCATGGTCGGCCAGCTGCAGTTCCAGCGTGTCGGACGTGTTGCCGGTCTCGTCGGTGATGCGCAGCGACTTGAAGCGCGCCATGATCTTGTCGGTGATGTCCTGGCTGTTGGCCACCACGCGGAAGGCCGGTGCGATGTTCAATCCCACAGGGCGACTCCCTTGCGCTCGCTGGCCGGGCGCTGCATCTCCGGCAGGGTGATCGCCACGCCGGCAGGCAGCACCGGGCCGCGCGCGGCCAGGCCCGGGTTGGCGTCGAGTACCGCGCGCAGGATGGCCGGCGACTGCTCGCCATAGTGCGCATACGCGATACGGTCGACGACATCGCCGTCGCGGGTGTTATACGTTGGTGCCATCGCTGTGCTTCCGCAGTGAAAGGGTGAATTCCTGTTTCAGGATCGCGCTGTCGGCGGTGAACTCGCTGGCGGTGGCATCGATCTTCTCGATGACCCACAGGCCCAGGTTGCCGCCCTTGCCGGTCAGCAGTCGATGAGGCGTGCCCTGCGCGGCCAGCCTGCGCAGCTGTGCGAGCTCATTGCCGGCTCCGCGGAACTGGTAGTAGATGACGCCAGGCAGGGTCATGCTGGCCGAGCCCGGTCCGGTGTACTGCAGGGCCGCCATCTGGCCGACGCGGTCCTGCGCCTGCCAGCGATACTCGTTGGACTGCTGGATCTCCCGGAAGACCGCGGTGTTGAGGCTGAACTTGAAGCCGCCCAGCATCAGCAGGACCGGGGCGTTGCCGGAGTCGTTGGCTTTGAACTGCGACAGCAGCTTGTCCACTGCGCCGGTTACGAATTCGCGTTTCATGCTCAGTTCCTGTCTGCCAGGCCACCACGGGCGGTCACCGCGCTGCGACGCTGCAGCTCGTCGGCCGTGCGGCGCGCCACCGCTTCGCTGGATTCGCCTGGCTGCTGGTGGATGGTGATGTTGTTGGTCTGCTGCTGCTGCACCGTGGTGGCGCTGCGCGGTGTGGGCGAAGGCATCTCCGGTGCGGCACGCCCGGCCGGTGTACCAAAGGCATTCGGCATGCGTGGCTGCACGCTGGCGCTGTGCATGCTGGCGGGCGCGAGCATCACCGGCGGGAGCTGTATGCCGCCGTTTGCGCGTATCGCGCCGTAGGCATCGGCCGCGGTGTTCACACCGAACGCGATCTTGTCCTTGGCGGTGCCCAGCACGCCCCCGACCTTGTCCATGATGGTGCCCACCACCTTCATGAAGGGGGCCATCTTGGTCATCATCGTGTCGATCACGCTGCTGACCTTTGCTGCAACCCAGTCCCAGGCGCCGCCGAAGGTGACGACGATGAATCCGGCCACGGTGCCGATGACCTCACCGATCATCCTGAAGACCTCGGCGACGAAGCCAGCGACATGGATGACGGCGCGGAAGTTGAGCATGAGTGCTTCGCCCACCAGCTTGCCGATCTCGCCCACGCGGGAGAGTTCGTTTCCGGTGTACTGCGCCGGGGCCAGCATCCGCGACAGCCAGTCCCAGGCCTGCCCCAGCAGGGCGCTGACCGCTTCCCACGCTGGACGCAGCGGCGCAACGGCATTCACCAGTTCTCCCATCGCGGAGGTGCCCGCACTGCTGAGACCTTCCCATACACCGCCGAGGAAGGCCTTGATCGGCTCCCAGTACTTGCGGACAAGCAGGGCACCGGCAGTGAGCGCGGCCACAGCTACCGCGATAGGTCCGCCACCAATGGCCCCCACTGCGGTGGCGACGACGCGGAACACCGAGGCGATACGCATGGCCATCGGGCCGAAGCGCCCCAGCTGGGCCAG